TGTAAATATATATTAAATAAGATTTTTAAACAAAATACACAAAAACAAGGCTATGCATTCACCAGGTAACAAAAATATTATGAAGATACACTCAAAGGAACCTACCCCTCTATTTACCCTAGGAGCATGGCTCAGTGTTCACTAACAGTGTTTGCAGGAGCAAAGGTAGAGAGCATAACTGCTGAGAATGTGCATGCAGCATTACCTAACTAGACCTACTTCAATCCTCAAGAGCAGCACTTTGATTCCTCATTTTTTTAAGAGAGAGAGAGAGAGAGAGAGAGAGAGAGAGAGAGAGAGAGAGAGAGAATTTTTAATATTTATTTTTTTAGTTTTCGGCAGACACAACATCTTTATTTGTATATGGTGTGAGGATCAAACCCAGCACCCCACGCATGCCAGGCAAGTGCGCTTCTGCTAGAATCACATCCCCAGACCTGATTCCTCATTTTTGATTCCCTCCTAAGTGATGCGCTTGGGCCATATTTCAGGTATCACCACAATGATGTGCCTCTCAACCACTAATGCATCTGTGAATCTTCTGATGATTTTGTTGAAATGAAAACTAGAATTCAGTCTGAGACCAGGCCACAGAGTCTATATTTCTACCAAACTCCAATGTAATAAATCTGATGCTTGACCATAAATGACCCTGAATATGGAGGACCTTCATCCTCCCCTGTTCTTTTGGTTTAGAGCACTTGGAAAAATAATTTTATGCTAAAATACCCTGAAATTGAATAGCAAAAATGGTAAGAGGCAAAACTGTGTTTCTCCTCAGAGACTCAAAAAGAATGTAGAAGTAGGAATGGATGAAGTCTCCAGGCAAAGCAAGACTTTTAACAAGAAGAGCATCAAATGTCTCAACTACAACACAGGTGTCAGGAGGGCAGGGAATAAAAAATAATTTAAAAACTACAAAACTTAACTTAAATTCCACATAGGTTTTTTTATTGAGAACATTATATGTGTAGGCCAGACACTTCACCAGGGATACAAATACTTAAAAAACATGTGCTTTACTCTCAAACTTTTAAAAACTTGAAAGAAGAAATGAACCTACACACCTGCCACTACACACAACCTACACACTGCTAGGTGGGCAGTGAGGGGTACAGTTCAAATGTAGGGATCCACAGATGGAGGAGAGATGGCTTTCCACTCTGAATCAAGGAAGGATCCCTGGAAGATGTGACATCTGAAATGCATCTGATGATCCATTGTATCTAACCAGGCTGACCCTGCTAACATCCTGTTCCAGGATATTAACTTCAGAGTTGAAGCCACAGAAGCCAGGTCAGAACAACAAATCCTGCAAGATTACATTGAGCATATATTGTTTAATCATCATGGAGCAGAAATAAGTTGCAAAGTTTTAGCAAGATGAGAAGAAGTGATGTCATCACCACGTGGTGTCCAGGTGTAGACTGGGCACCTGGGTAGCTGGGTCCTCACTTCAAAGGGACAGCACTGCAGGGAGCTTCACAGTGTGTCCTACGTGAACCAAATGAGAACAGAGAAATAACAGACCTTCATGAGGTGGAGGCGAGAACTTGAGGAGAAATGGGAATGGGGCTAAAGGGAGAAGGAAAAGTGAGGGAAAAGTCAAAAAATAAGAGAAGACTGTTGGGGAGGAGGGACAAACAGGAAAGATGGAAACAAAGAACTCACCAGCATTTCCTAAACCAAAATCCAAAACCTGTCAGAAGAGCCAGGGACACTATCACTGCCCAGAGGATCCTGCCCAGGGCACTATGAGGTGCTGCAGATTCAAGTGGACACCAGGATGTTGTTTCCAATCCATTCCCCATATTACCCCTTGAACTCCCCGTTTGCTTCATTAACTATGTTCTTTGAGTTTCTACTGCACCAGTCATTCCTCCTATTTTATTCTTATCCCTTTTCAGAGAGTAATCCTTCTATCCTACAACTTTCTGCATCTACAGATCCCTCATTTTGTAATTCTTCTATTTCTTAGATTAAAATATTTGTCTTCTTTTTGAATC